CACATGCCCTATGGCAAAAACAGAAAAGAGAGAGGGAGGGAGAGAGAGATTATTAGGTTATGAAGGTTCCGCCCTTGTGAATAGTACCAGATGTGCAGATATCAATATAGGGACATGGAAACATGAAAGAGCAAGGAAACATGACACCTCCAAAAGGACAAAATAATTGTCTAGTAATAGATCCCAAAGAAAATGAAATTCTTATACGATCTGAAAGACATTCAAAGTAATGGTCCTAAAGAAACTCAGTAAGATACAGAAAATACAGGTAGATAATTCAGTGAAATAACAAAATATCTAAATGATAGAAGTCATTTAAAAAGAACTAAATTCTCTAATTTCAACAGCAAACTATATTAAGTAGAAGTGTCTCATACTTTGAAATGAATCCCAAGATTGTCAAAAAAAAAAAAATTAAAATAGAAACTTTAAGTCAGAGAAAAAAAATGGAAAAAAGAATAGAAAAGGATTATGACAGCCCATAGTTGGTTCAAGTAAACAAACATTCTTAGCATTACAGTGCAAGAAGAGACAAGATACGGACAGAAAGCTTTTAAAAAAAAAAAATAGCTGAAAGTTTCCCAAGTATTGGAAGACCATCCAGATAGAAGAAGCTTATGATACCCAAGCAGATTTAACCTAAAGAGGTCTTAAACAAAAATAGACTTTTTAAAGTTTTAGAAAAAAAAAAGTCATATATAAGGGAATTTACATGAGACTAATACAATATTTCTCAGCAGAAACTATGTAAGCCAGAGAGAATGGAATGAAGTATTCAAAATTTTAAGGAAAAAAAAAAAACCCTGCCAACCAAGAATACTATACCCAACAAACATATCCATCAGGATAGAAAGAGAATCTAGCACTTTCTCAGACATGCAAAAATTGAGGAAATTAACTACCACAAGGCCAACCTCATAAGAAATCCTTAAGGGAATCCTACATCTCAAATCAAAGGGCAATAACTACCATTATAAAGACACATGAAAATACACACAAGAACCAGTATAAAAAACTAAACCAAAACAAACCAAAGAAATTCATTGGTAGACTAGATACACCAATGAAAAACAGAAAAGAAGCAAAGCTTATCAGTATAAAAGATACAAACCACAAAGACAGATAATAAGAGAGGAAGAATCAATACACATGACAACCAGAAAACACCTAATAAAACAACAGGATTAAGTTCATATTTATCTATAATAACCCTGAAGGTAAACAGATTAAATTTCCAATTTAAAAGACATAGACTGACTGAATGAATTTTTTTTAAAAAAGGACCCAACTATATGCTGCCTATAAGAAACCCACTTTACCCCACCCCAATGCAACAGTTTTAAGAATAATTAAGTGATTACTGGGGGGGCAGCAGGTGGTTAAAGCACTAGACTCCCACATGGTCGACAGCAGTTCAAGTTCCAGACCTGGCGGCTTGAAAATCATGCCAGGTGCATGTACATACATTCCCAAAGTCCTGGGAGGAGAATAGAGGAGGAGAGATTATGGCAAGGCCATCACCCTGGGCTGGGGGGGAGACAATTTTTCACTTTCCTTCTTCCTTTTCCGCTCCCCCCTCCCACCCACAAGCACACATGCCCTATGGCAAAAACAGAAAAGAGAGAGGGAGGGAGAGAGAGATTATTAGGTTATGAAGGTTCCGCCCTTGTGAATAGATTATTGTCCTTATTATGTGAGGGTTTGTTATCACAGGAGTGAATTTGTTATAAAAGCAGTTAGGGCACCCTCTTGTTCTTTCTTGTGTATGTTCTTCCACCTACCACCTTCAGCCATGGGATGACACAGCAAGAGGGCCCTCACCAGACACGGTCCCTTAATCTTGGCCTTTCTAACTGCCAGAACCATTAGCCAAATAAATTTCTTTATAAATTACTCTGTCTCTAGTAATTATACAGCAGCATGAAATGGACTAAGACAGATAAGTATGAGAACAACCAGCAACCATGCCTGCAGTCATATCTGATGGTTAATTTTATGTGTCATCTTGACTGGGCTAAGGGTTCCCATATAGCTCCTAAAACATTACTGGGTGTGTTGGTGAAGGTCTTCAGAAAAGACTAGCATTTAAATCAGTAGACTGAGTAAAGAAAATTGCCCTCACCAGTGTAGATGGGCATTATCTTATCCACTGAGGATCTGAATAGAACAAAAAAAGGAAGAGATATCTATCTTCTTCTTTCCTTAGACATTGGAACTCCTGGTTCTCAGGCCTTCAGGCTTAGACCGGGATTTACACCTTTGGCCTCATATCCCCTCACCACTCTTTATCCCATATCCAGGCCTTTGGACTGAGCCCAAATTATACCACCAAATTTTCCTGGTTCCCCAGCTTCCAAATAGTAGATCATGGAAATTCTGGGGTTTTATGGCTATGTAAACCAGCTACTAAAATAAACCTCCTCTTAAAAATATGTTTGTGTGTGTGTGTGTGTGTGTGTGTGTGTGTGTGTGTATGTTTGTGTGTGAGTGATTCCTGTTGGTTTCTAAAGTTCTAAATAACTTTGACTAAGACATACATAGAGGAAATCTGTTTGAGAGAATGAAGCACAGGCATTGCCAGAGTAATGATCACAATTTTGCCTCCAGCCAAAAGAAAGCCCCCCGCCGATCCGCCACACACACACACACACACACACACACACATAGTTCTATACTTTATAGGGTCAACTTTAGTTCCTCAGGGGAGAAGTATGTAGGGCCCAGGGGATATGTCCTCCTCTTCTTTGAGTTCCCCAAATTCTCTGCTCAAATGACCTTGAGCCTCTACTAAAACCTGCTTGGGCCTCTTCTCCTGGCCTGTCTTGCTGGAGGCAGGTGATCTTGCAGGTGTGCATTAATAGGCCTGAAGGATGGTCAAGGAGAAGATGTTTGTGGACAGATGTTTGGGGAATCTGTTGTTCTAGGAGGTGGCTAGAACTTGAATGTTCAGGTTGGGATGTTCATGTTCAGTTATGTGAGATCATTTGTGATTCAGAGCAACATCTGAAGTAGAAAGAGAATGGAAAGACCACAGGCTGGGGGCTGGCTATCCCCACACTGCTGGGTTCCAAAGTAGAACTCCTAGGAGTCAGAGAGGTCTAAAATCAACTTTGGCTGTCTTGGGCCATTATTGTACTAACTGGAAATACCTGATACTGGATGATTTATAAAGAATAGAGGTTTAGTTGTTTCACAGTTCTGGTGGCTGGAAAGTCCAAGAGCAAGGGACCAGCATCTGGTCTTACATCAAAATACGGCTGACATAAGCAGAAAAGAAAGGGGACACATGTGAAGAGAAAACAAATGACTGCAGGAAGCCATCTTAATTTTATAACCATCCACTCTTCTGGGAACTAACTCATACCTATGAGAGAAGAACTCATGCCTTCATATGAGACAGCATTAATCTACCATGAGAGCAGTGTTTCCATGATCCAAATACTACTCACTAAGCCTCACCTCCTAAAGATCCCACCACCTTCATGAACCCTGGGTCGTGGGTGAGGGATCCTCCTAAGATGTTCTATTGTCTCCTTCCTGGGGCCCTAGGTCCTGCACGACTTGAACAGTCCGTGTACATCTGAGGGAGGGCTCCAATACCAGGGATGTTCCCCTCCTCTGGCACACACGCAAGAATGCACACACACACACACACACACACACACACATAGTTCTATACTTTATAGGGTCAACTTTAGTTCCTCAGGGGAGAAGTATGTAGGGCCCAGGGGATATGTCCTCCTCTTCTTTGAGTTCCCCAAATTCTCTGCTCAAATGACCTTGAGCCTCTACTAAAACCTGCTTGGGCCTCTTCTCCTGGCCTGTCTTGCTGGAGGCAGGTGATCTTGCAGGTGTGCATTAATAGGCCTGAAGGATGGTCAAGGAGAAGATGTTTGTGGACAGATGTTTGGGGAATCTGTTGTTCTAGGAGGTGGCTAGAACTTGAATGTTCAGGTTGGGATGTTCATGTTCAGTTATGTGAGATCATTTGTGATTCAGAGCAACATCTGAAGTAGAAAGAGAATGGAAAGACCACAGGCTGGGGGCTGGCTATCCCCACACTGCTGGGTTCCAAAGTAGAACTCCTAGGAGTCAGAGAGGTCTAAAATCAACTTTGGCTGTCTTGGGCCATTATTGTACTAACTGGAAATACCTGATACTGGATGATTTATAAAGAATAGAGGTTTAGTTGTTTCACAGTTCTGGTGGCTGGAAAGTCCAAAAGCAAGGGACCAGCATCTGGTCTTACATCAAAATACGGCTGACATAAGCAGAAAAGAAAGGGGACACATGTGAAGAGAAAACAAATGACTGCAGGAAGCCATCTTAATTTTATAACCATCCACTCTTCTGGGAACTAACTCATACCTATGAGAGAAGAACTCATGCCTTCATATGAGACAGCATTAATCTACCATGAGAGCAGTGTTTCCATGATCCAAATACTACTCACTAAGCCTCACCTCCTAAAGATCCCACCACCTTCAACACCATTACATTGGGGACCAAGCTTCCAGCACATAAACTTGTGTGGGCCTTCCAGGTAGAATACTTAAAACATGTTTTATTTCAGAATTTGCCAACTTGGTTTATAACATTCCAATATTATGATGTGCAGTGTGGTACTATTGCCAAGGGACTTGCAAATGTTAAGGGAAAGTCTGACTAGAGAAAACAGATAAAGAGGTTCCCAGGGCATTTGAGTCCCTGGTTCATTATGTTCTTGATGCATGGATACACTCCTATCTTCCCCTTGATTTGATCTTATAAATTAATAAATAGTAAATTTTTGCCTAAGCTAATCTGGATTTGGGTAATATTCAATCAAGCATCCTAGGTAATATAGATAGCAAATACTGGAGCTGGGACTTGAACCTGGGCTCTGACTCCTATCCTAGCACTCACTCTATTACAACACATCTCTCAATTATAAGTCAAGTAAACGTTGCTGACAACCTGGTAGATAAAAGCCCGAATCCATAGGGAGCGCTTTTACCTACCTGACCCCTAAAAACACTTGCAGGAGAGTGCAGATCCCAGAGACGAAGAAAATGGTGCTGATGAGGTAGCTCTGGGTCAAAGGGTCATGCTGCAGGCATAGGTCCTTGGCCAGGATGAGTGGCACCGCCACGAGTCCCCCCAGGGCTGTGAGGAAGTGCTGCGGGCAGAGAGTGAGACAGTGTGGCTGCCGGCTCCATTCTGATTCCCCAAAGAGCAGTGGGCCCAACCCTGACCAGGATGCCATTCCCTTTGTAGGAGGCAAGATCTCCACCTTTGTTCTCAAAGAGACCCATCCGTAAGCAACAGGCAGGGACCCAGGCAAGCAGAGGAAACTAAGAAGCTTGGGCAGCGAGAAGCCAGCCAGAGGGACTGGGCTTCAAAGGCAGGGCCCTAGCTCCAGAGACCTGATAGCCTGGAAAAGACACCAAGGCAGAGACACAACACAGGAGGCCATAACAAGACCCAAGGTGAGGCCTTGAAAACAAGAACAAAGCAAGAGGCTCATCACTGAACAAGGTGAGCAGCGAGGGCAGGAGGCTTGTCACTGAACAAGGCATGCAGGGAGGGCAGGAGGCTCATCACTGAACGAGGTGAGCAGGGAGGGCAGACCTTTGACAAGGAAGGCCTGAGCATTAGCCTGGAGCTATTGGCTAAAGGCTATTTGAGTTTCTACTGACACAACAGAATTAGATCCAGGGTTCAGAGCAGGGCTGGTCCACAGCAGGCAGCTCCCGCTATAAAGGGGATAAATTAGATATAGATGATAGATGATAGGTGATAGACAGATAGGTGGGGAGCCAAGCAATCAATGCAGGAATGGGACACAATCTCACACGCTAGCCCCAGAGCAGAAAAGTCAGGGATGGAGGCGGATGTGTGTGTGTGTGTGACGGGGAGGCGGGGGGTGGGCATGTGTGGACTATGGCCAGTTCCATTCTAAGCCATCAGAGTGGCTCCAGTTCCCATACAAAGGTAACCACTGAGCCAAACGATATGAGCACAAAGACCCTGAAGCCACCTGTTTCTCCTCCTTGCTCCAATCCAACCTGTCCTCTGATAACTTGGGTCATATCTCTGCCAGCATTTCTACGTGGCCTCATGTTCCTGGTGCTCACACAACCACTCTGATTTCCCATCATCGGGGCAGCAAAGGAACCATGGCAGGTTTACCAAACACTACAGGTTCTCCACCTTGTCCTGTGAGAACATGGCATGAATCAAGCCAGGATAAGCAGTTTTGGTATGATTTCTTTACAAAAGTTAGCTGCTTTTGTAAAGTTAGTTATCCACTGGGACAACTGAAAGTGAAAGGAAGGAGAAAGAAAATGAAAAGTTGCTTTAAGGGGTTGTGCCGTGAAGAGTTGCCGTTGAGGTGTCATGATGGGAATGAAGCCGCAATACCGATTCTGCCTTGTCTCACCCACTTCTCCTCCCCACAGCACTGAGCAGGATCTAACAAGAAGGGGGTAAAACGAGGCAAGTTATGAGATGATGGGAATGAAGCCGCAATACCGATTCTGCCTTGTCTCACCCACTTCTCCTCCCCACAGCACTGAGCGGGATCTAACAAGGAGGTAAAACGAGGCGAGTTATGAGGTGGGCTTTGTACTACAGGTCTTGTATCTGCTGACTCAACCAACCATAGATCGACAATATCAGGAAAAAATGGTTGCATCTGTACTAGACCTGTATAGACATTTTCTTGTCATTATTCTCTAAATAATATTGTGTAATAACTGTTTACATAGCATTTGCATTGTATTAGGTATTATAAATAATTAAGAGACAATTTAAAGTATATAGAAGGTTGTGCATAAATTATATACAAAATACCATACCATGTTATATAAGGGACTTATGCCTCTGCAGAACTTTGATATTCTTGGGGGTCCTGGAAACAACCTCCCAGAATATAATGAGGCTCGAATGTATATTCTTACTTAGTTGGGGCTTTAATCCCAAATCTCAATGGGAGCTAAATTAGATTACAGAAAAGGTTGGTTTTTCTTAAGGAAATTTAACCTAGGAACGATCCCACAAGCACAATAATTAGGTGCTTTCCATAGAAACTGGATCCCACATGGCTAACTGTAGTTTGAATCCTGGCCCCAGCAGCTTGAAATATCTGTGGGGGCTGTGTGTTTGGGTGCCCCAAATACTGACAGAATGGAAATTGGAGGAAACAGAATTATGGTGTGGCCATGCCCCGCTGAGATATGCTTTCTCTCTCTCTCTCTCTCTCAAACACACACACACACACACACATGCATACACACACAAGCACATTTGCCCATTGACAAGAAAGAAAGACAGAGGAAGTAAAGAAGGAAAAAAAGAAAAAGAAAAAGAAAGAGAGAGAGAGAGAGAAAGAGAGAGAGAGAACCAAGTCTAAAAAATATTCATATGCTCACAGTTCTGCTTTTGCAACCTCTATCCTGGCAAAGCTGAGTCTCAAAACATATTCCACAGAACAGAGGACTATGTCCTCCCTCTCCCTCCCCCGATCTCCACCATGCTAGAGGAAGAAAGCAAGAGGGTAGCTTGCCCACTCCCTAAAAAGGGACGGGTCTGGGCCAGTGCAGCTAGAAAGAGAGCCCCATGTCTTTCCAGACATAAGAGTGGAAGCAGCAGAAGAAAAGTGAGAGAGAAATGGCCAGGTCCTTTAAGGGGGCAGTTCCAGCTCCTGTTACCAAGTCTAGCAGCTTTCACCCTCATGGTTAATCCCCTCAGCTAAAGTCCTGGAAGAATCTGACAAATACAATCAGAACTGCTCCTTGGAACTAGAATAAGGTGGGGGTGGGTGGTGTGTAGGAGGCAAGGGAGACTTTGAAATCCCACTAAAGGACAAATACCCTCTCACTGGGTTTTCTTTGGTTAACCCACAAATTCAACAGACAGACACTATAGTAAGCTAGGGGTTGGCTGCCCTCTTGGGGAAGACAATATGGGATGAACTCCAGAAAAGAAGTGCCCATGTGTCGTAGGGACAGTCTACGATCCTTGCCATTGCACCTATGTCTTCTTGGGATAAATGACATTATGATTCAGTCCTTCACAGTATCTTAAATTCTTCTTTGACCTGCCAGCAGTTAAGTCAACACAGTATTCTTGAGGCCAAGAGTCCACCAGTGTTTTATTTCTCATCTCACATCATGGCTAACCAGACTTATCACACAGGGATAACTTGCTGCCATTACCAAACAAATCTCTTGATCTTACAGAACTTACTAGGCATTTTGGTGGAAACTGAATCAAAGAGAAAAGCTTTAGGTGACAGGGCTTGCTCTGAAAAAGCAGAGTTGGTCTGGTACCTCTCTGGTCTCACCCAAGTAAAATGGATCTTCGACAGCCCAATGACCCCATTCAGTAGAACAATGGACCAGTCAGTGTCCTTGACATGACCAATCAGTTCCTCTAATCCTCCAACCCCATCCCCAAACCCCTAGAGAGAAAGAGACTTAGAGGAGCCTTGAGTTCCCAGGAAGTCAACAACATGAAGACAGAAATTCTAGCAACTAAAGTTGTTGATGCTGACTGATTTGATCTGGGTGTATGTTCATATAGCTTTTGAGGCAGAGCCCCTTTGAACCCAGTGCTTGCTGAGTGGCATTACCTGGATGCCCAAGAAGATGCAGAGATACCATGGTGGGATGTCTAAGACACCATAGGCCAGGTGGCTGGTGCTGGGACTCCGGGACTGTCCCTTCTTTCTGCGTTGGCCATCAGTATGGGAGCTGAGCACACCATCATCCCTCTGCTGGAAATAAGAGGATATGTCTGGGCATTTCAAGAGGAATCAAGAGGACGTCCTTATTTCAACCAGACGGACGGCATTCTGGAGATGAGAAGCAATGGGACAGGAATAACTGCTGACCAGCTGGTGGTTTCAGGTCTGGTATCTAGTACCAGTGATTTCCTGTTATGCATCTGCAGCAGGGTCTCCAGGTGAAGTCGGGTCTTGCAGGAGAGTAGGTGGCTTATGCAAAGCCTTGGGGGACAGTCTGTGAGGGAGGAGGGGGACTAATCTTAAGGTCAGAAAATGGGCAGGTTTCTCTCAAAGACTTTTATATGTGTTCCCATAGGGCCCTGTGTTTACAGGTGACAAAATCCACATTACAGACTGTTTATTATAATGGATGCTTTATCTGTCTCTTACTAGTCCTTGTCACCCCCGCTTCTAGCACATCCCCATGCTCACTGTAGATGGAATGAGTGAATGAATGAATGAATGAAATGTCCTAGTGTAGCTGGATGCAATGCACACAGAATGACTGAGGGTTAACAGTCAAATCGCATTTCTACCAGTTGAACCAAAGTTAACTTTGAGTTATAGACTTTCCTCCCAACTTATTAGCTGTTTAGCTAGCCTACTAGCCTTGGCTGAATTTCTAATATTTCTAAGTCTCAGTGTTCTGCCCTATATTTTAAAAATGTCAATAGCACCTACCTCATAGATGGTTAAGAAAATTAAATTGGAACTTGGAGTGCATAGCCTAGTGCCTGGCAGTTTAATTGCCCAGTAAACAATAGCTGTTAAAATTACTATGATCTTCAGGAACCAGCAGTTAGCATAATGGCTATGTCACTGGACTCCAACGTAGTCGACCGTGGTTCGCATCCTGGACCCGGTGGCTTAAAACTCACGCTGGGCGCGTGTGCGTGCGTGCCCAAGATCCCGAGAGGAGAATGGAGGAGAAGGGATTGCGGCGTGGCCATCCCCCCAGGGGGGTGATTTCTCGCTTTCTGTCTCTATGTCTCTCTCTGTCTGTCTGGCGAGCGCACGTGCGCTATAGCAAAAACCTCTCAAAAAAAAATTACTATGATCTTCCATATTTTCACATGTTCAAAGGGTTTTAAACATGTGCTAAGGGCTGACATTTGAGCAGCTGGCTGTGGGTGAGGGGAACATGAGAGCACTGTTTCCAATGTGACCAGACGGTGGCAAGACCACCAGCACCAAGTCAGGACACGGTGTGTGGTGTGCCCCCCTGGGCTCTGACAAGGCAGGGTCTGCCCTCACGTAGTGCAGGCCTCTCATGAAGACAGTTCTGGAAAAGATTTTGGAACATATTGACCGGTTCTCTGGAAGAAGCACTAACTCAGGGACAGCGCTGGCTGGAAAGGATGAAGAGAAGGTGTGGATAAAGAAAAGCCAGTCCTGGGCCGGCAGGTGGCATGGTGGTTAAGGTTCGAGCCCCAGACCTAGCGGCTCACTTTCCCTCTGTCTCTTTTTCTCTTTCTCTCTCACTCAATGAGTCCCTCTCTGGTCAAATTAAAATAAATAAATAAACAAACAAGCAAATAAAAGTTAAATAAAAAAAAAAAAACTTCTTTAAGAAAAAAAAAAAAAGAAAAGCCAGTCTTGGGCCAGATGGTGGCATGGTGGCTGGATCCCACATGGCTGACAGCACAGTTCAAGTCCTAGACCTGGTCACTTAAGAAACACAATGGGAGGCACTGGGAGGTACCAATAAATGGCGTAATGGCTATGTCACTGGGCTCCCATGTAGTTGACCGCAGTTTGAGTTCCAGACCCAGTGGCTTAAACTCACACCAGGCATATGTGCGTGCGTGCCCAAGATTCTGAGAGGAGAATGGAGGAGAAGGGATTGCAACATGGCCATTTCCCCTGTAGGGTGAGTTTTTGCTTTCTGTCTCTCTGTCTCTCTCTGTCTTTCTGGTGAGCACACATGCTCTATAGCAAAAATCTCTCAAAAAAACAAAAAAAAAGAAGAAGAAATAAGGAACATGGTGGATGTGTGTGTAATACGTGCCCCAAATCCTGAAAGGAGGGAAAAAGAAAGCAGGAAGCAAAGAAATTGCAGAATGACCATCCCCCATGGGGGATCACTTTCTTCCTCTTTTTCTCTCTCTGTCTCTCTCTCTCTCCCTCTGTCTCTGGCGAGTATATATGCCCTCTTGCAATTTTTTTTAAGAAGAAAGAAGAAAAAGAAAAATGAGAAAAAGAAAAATAAAGAAGAAAGAAAAGAGAAGATAGAAGACAGAGAAACAAAGAAAGAAAGAGGGAGAGAAAGAAAGAGGAAAAGGAAGGAAGGAAGAAGAAATAAAAAGAAAGAGGAAAAAGAAAAGAAAAAGAAAGCCAGCCATTGTCCACGGGGTCGAGCAGTGGCAAGTGCCCTTCGGAGTCCTTCCCAGTGGTGCCTATGAGGCCTGCGTCACCAGTGAGGGAGAAAGCGTGGCCCATAGCCTGTGTTCTCGCAGTTGGAGGCACACCCAGGGTTAAGGTACACCTTACTGATATGGGCTCTCCCGGCCTGTCTGCGGCATGGCTCTGCAGAACCTCTTTGTTCTCATTATGAAACAGCATTTGCTCATTGATCTCCTAACACATAGGCCCTAAAACGGAAATGTAAGAGTTTGGCTTCATCTCATCTATTTAGTGATCAGTCATGGGCTCCCGAAGCCTTCCCTAACCCCACACGCCCCAGCCTCAGACTAGACGAGGCCTCCCCTCTTCAGGGGCTCCCACAGAATGTGAGCATGTTTGCCATAGCCCATAACACCCATGCTGCCATCATAAGTTCCTCACCCAAAAGACTACGTCTGTAACACCACAGTGCCAGTGTGTGCAAGCCTCGGGATCCAGGACTCTAACCCGAGTCAATCACGTGGAAGTCCAGTGATGTAACCACTGTGCATCTGCAGGCCTCACAGACGTATGAATTAATGACTGTAGAAATGTTTCTGACTGACTTTTTAATAAACCCCCAACTTGAACTGGTCAGAACTCTTCTGAAACATCGCACTTATGCTACTTAGACTTCTGGAAAGGAGGAGGCACTGGTGTGAGGCTGCTTGGTGCAAAGTGCATCTGTCTGTTTTCAGCCAGATCAAAGTCTGTCTGAAGACACACTGGAGGCTGCCGGAGGGAGTTCTGGGCTTCTGAGCATTTATCCTGGGGGTTAGTGAATGAATGGCGGAATCCTTGAGGGACAGTGTAAAAAAAACACAGGCGGAAAAAAAAGAGATGAACTGCTCGATATTGGCCATGCAGCTCAGAGAAGAGAGCGCAGAAGAGAAGTCAGGCAGACTGGATCCTGCCACTCCCTGACTGGGCGACTGCAGGTGCATGGCATCTTCTCTTCCAGCCTCAGCGTCCCCATCGAGGATCCAGGATGGCCACAGGGACACTCGCAGGCTGAGCACAGGCAGTGTGCTGGCCTCCTGCTGCATGTGGCATCCCATTGCAGGTCCCGGTGCATGAGCTCATGGGCTGTGCCCACTAGGTGGTGTGTCCTGCCAGCAAGCTCACCTCATGCCCTCTCCCGGGACCCCAAGCCCTCTCCCGGGATCTCAAGAAGGTGAGGGGAGGGACCAGCAGTTAGCGTAATGGCTATGTTGCTGGACTCCCACGTAGCCGACTGTGGTTTACGTCCCGGACCCAGTGGCTTAAAATTCACGCCGGGCGCGTGTGCGTGTGTGCCCAAGATCCCGAGAGGAGAATGGAGGAGAAGGGATTGCGGCGTGACCATCCCCCCTGGGGGGTGATTTCTCGCTTTCTGTCTCTCTGTCTCTCTCTGTCTTTCTGGCAAGCGCACGTGCCCTATAGCAAAAAAAACTTCTCAAAAAAAAATAAATAAATAAACAAAGAAGGTGAGGGGAGGGAAACACTGTGACTAGGAAAAGCTGTTGCTTCTAACCAACTTGTCCTTTTCCCTGACAGAGCAGAAGCCATTGTCAAAGTCTGTCCCCAGTCTGCTGACCTCCGGGTATCCATGTTCCACCTTTGTGTCAATGTGGACCATCCAGAGGGCAAGGAAACCATTTCTGCATCTGCTTTAAATGGTTGTCTGGGAAACCGATCCTATGTGAGGCCTCAGACCAAAAAACCATAGACCTTAGAGCAAGCATGACTTCTCTTCCCTGCGGACAGCTGGCTCATCTCTTGTGGAAGGGGCATGTCACTCCCACAAAGTCGCCAGCCAGGCCAGGTAGGGAGCACAGAGGCTGAGATACTTTGACCTCAGTGGTACAAGCCCTTCCATAAACACCCTCATTTTCTTCTCCTTCCTGCGTGTTCCGTTGTCTATTTGTATTTTCTTCTCCCAGTTGTTCAAAAGTGTTTTTCGTTGTACACAGCCTCAAGTCATCTATGCCAAGAAGTGGGGTGTAGAAATACAACAAGCAGCCCTGGAGTGACTCCATCCTGCCTGGCTGTTCTCAGGAGATGTACTCATTTATCTCTGACCACCTTCTCTCCTACCTAACTGCATGCCACCAGCCATGGAAGATTCAATGGACACAGACATGAGCCCCCTGAGGCTCCAGAACCATCTTTTATGGTTGTGAATGAAAGGCTGACAAAGATGATCACTTTAAGGTGGATAACGAGGAAAATGAACCCCAGTTCTCTTTAAGAATGGTCAGTTTGGGGGCTGGGGCAAAGGATGATTTGTGAATTGCTGAAGCAGAGGCAATGAATTATGAAGCAAGGCCAATCCAAGTAACACTGGCAACACTGAAAGTGTCTGTACCACCCGTGGTTTCCCCTGGGGGCTTTGAAATACACCACCTGTGGTCTTAAGGTTGAAGTGTGGTTCGGGGCCCGTGCATATTCGTGGACAGCACTTAGTAGCTGTGGAGGAAGATGCAGAGTCGGAAGAGGATGTGAAATGCTTAAGTATATCTGGAAAGCCATCTGCCCCTGGAGGTAGGAACGAGAGCCACGGAAAAGAGTAAAAGTTGCTGCTGATGAAAACGATGATGAAGAAGATGATGATGATGATGATTTTGCAG